CGTCGGCGATTTTCTAGTTTATAGAAAATCCTCCACGAATTTCCAGCTTTCCAGAAAATGTTGATTTTCTACTTTATAGAAAATCGACTTGAATTTCCTTAAATTCGATTTTCTATAAAGGTGGAGAATCGCTGAGGATTTTCTATAAACTAGAAAATCCCCGGCGATTTTTCGATCGATTTTCTGTAAACTGGAAATTTTCCAGTTTATAGAAAATGAATCGAATTTCTATAAATAATTTCCAAGAATCTGGAAATTCGATTTTGATTTTCTATAAACTGGAAATTCGACATCGAATTTCCAGTTTCCTGGGAATTATTTATAGAAATTCGATCGATTTTCTAGAAAGTGGAAATTCGCCCAGGAATTTCTAGACCAAATACTTATTTATCTTTTTGTTTTGCAATCAGTGTAGGTATAAGAGCGTCACGTAAAGACACTATTACACTTAAATCAGCTTTGACAGTTTCCACTTTAGATCACAATTCTGCCTATGCCGGCAAGAATTTTGATTTAGGCAGAGATAGTGGTGTTGCGAAGTTTCGGTAGGAAGGTCCCAAAATCGGAGACGTTCACCAGAAATTTCTCAAAAGCATCAGGGGGCGGGGTCAAGCCCAATACAACCTGGCCGCGCCGCCACTCGGTGCAGACCCGCCAAAGAATTCCTACTTTCCTGGAAATTTTATTTATGGAAATTCAATGACGATTTTCTAGACTGTTGAAAATTCGATTTTCTATAAACTGGAAAATCCTTGAGGAATTTGTATAGGTACTCTTTGAAATTCGCCGTGCATTTTCCATAAATAATTTCCAACCTTACAGTGTATCTTGATAAACGGGCTATTAAACCAGCCAAAATTTCTCCTGAAAATTCACAGCATATGATAATCGTATCACTTTGGAGAGAAAGATATTCAGAATGAAATGGTCTAAGAAAGTGAAAAGAATGCTGAAAGAAGTTTCTTCGTTGAATATCAAATGTAGTGATTAATGCAGAAAATTTTAAGTATGTTTTTCGAAAAAATGGCACTGACGAATATTCTTCAGCATACTGCATATCTTCACTTTACTTACGCTACCGACGCACAGACGATTAATTTTTAATGTGTTTGTATCAATGAATATACAATATAGAATCATGTTATTCTTTCTCTTTTTAAGATATGACATGCATGCGATCGATACTCGAATATTATAAACTATATGAATTCATATAAGAGACAAAGAACGTATATTCATATTCGAAAAAAGGCGCTCATGAGTGCCGTTATGTTGACCTTATATTTAAAATATACATACAGTCCTTTTTCTAATGCGAACAAACTAAAAAGCAAAACCGTTTGCTCTCTCTTTATCTTTGTGTGATTGTCTATTAAATGACACTGAAAGGTTTGAAAATCAAATGTGCTCTTACATGAACAGAAGTTAGTTTGACTGAGGTAAGACTGTTTTTCTTTTTTTGTATGCATAATTAGAGAAATGTCTAGAAAATCTGTCAAAGTGTACATTGATGTTTCACAGCATGATTCGCTGCAACTAGCACTGCGTTAGCTGATATTCAATCTAAGGTTTTCAGTGAATTGCAGTCGAATAAGCAAACTGCAATTCAAAGTGTTATCGTGAAAGCTTGTCAAAATGCTATTTCTCTGTTTGTGTCGAAGAAAAAACTTCATCCGCCAAGAGTTTTGTCTGTGTACATTCCCTCGAATTCTATATCACCTGTTATTAATGATACCGTAACATTCGAACGTCCGTCATTTGATATCTCATCAGATATTATGCAACATGTACCACTATCAGTGCATGTTTCAGAAAAAATTTGTTTTGAATACAACATTTCTACTGGTTTTATTGCTGAAGCAAATTTAGATTATATGCTCCCGTTTTTTAAACATTGCTTATCAACTACAGTCAGACCTTTAAATTTACAAAAAGTTTGTGATCAAATAGCTGACTTTGTTTTCTTGAAGTTGAACTTCTTTGTCAGCGTACGTGAATTAAAGCACGAGTTAAGTCTGAAGATATGTCATATCGTTCAGGCAGCAAAGAAAAAAGCAACCGGAAAAAGTGCCATTAGAGTTTTGAGTGAAACAAACTCTTTCAAATTCTTCTTGAAATCAGTACATTGGCTGACAGAGCGTGAACGCTTAAACGACTTTCAAGCCTTCGATTCGACAAATAAACTTTTACTCATTCGTGATTTCGAAGACCTTGATCAAACACCTGATGTTATATGTTTTGAAGCGAGTACAAATTCTGTACGATTGACTTACAGTTATTCATTCGTCCAGAAAGCGTTGGAAGTATATGAAATGATAGGCACAGTTTGTACTGATGAAATGACAAGTATTATCGAACAGTACTTTTCGAGTTCAAAACTTAGTTTTGAAACAGTCTAAGTAGTACAATCGCTGAAAGCAGATTTCTTACAGTATAGGAAAAGTATCGATTGTGTGAAATATTTAATGATTCAGATTCCATCGAGAAATAATGCGGCCATGGCATCTTCAATTGATGCTCATGATATTATGGTTTCTCCTATAAGAAGCCTATCAGATACCGAGCTAGACGCAATAATCGGTCGCTCATACCCTATGAGGGGAACGAAACGTCCGTACGATGAAGATATCATCGAAGAACCTTGTCGAAAAAATGAGAAATGGCATTCTTACATTGCTGAAGCAAAACGAGAGTTTCTTCATCTAAAAGACAGTCATCATATCACAGATGCTGGACTCAAAGCAATGTTTAAATTTTATAAAACTCACAAAAAGCTTTATTCTCTGAAAGATACTAATAAGTTAAGAAATAAAACAAATGCTAAATTTCCAGTCATTTTCACCAAAAGCAGTGCATATGTAAAACTTGAATATGCGGTGAGAACAGCTATTTTCGTAGCACAAAAACATGCAGCTGATTTTGAGAAACAAGATGTACTGACCTTCCGATTCAATATGGATGGTACTCTGATTGGGAATAAACACATCGTAGCAATTTCGATTAATTGTGTTGAAGGAGGACGTGAGTGTCAAAGAGCTAAGAATCTAATTCCCGTTGGACTTTTTGAAGTACAAAAAGAAAATACTGAGCTTTTGAGAAAAACTCTTCCTCAAGAATTCATTGGTGATATACGTTCGGTTAAACAAATTCATTATAAGCACAAGGACTTTGATGTAAAGCTTAAACTAGGTGGCGATTTAATGAATGCTGTCTACGTGTTTGGCCTAGCCGGTTTTACTTCGAATTATCCGTGTGTATTCTGTACTCAGCACAAAGACGATCTTCATATAACTGAAGAAACCGCTTATGATAAAGTTGTCACAGAAGGCAAAGGCAAAAATAAAGTGACCAAAACAATTAGAATTAGTGGTACATCATATTATGATGTGACTAAACTAGCCCGTTCATTAGAAGAACAAAAACACTGCTTGCATAATGGCAAGGTAAACGATTTAGGGTATAAGTGCGAGCCACTATTTGGCGATTTGTTTGATTTCAAAGATTATGTTCTGGATACATTACATATGAAGCTGAGGATATTTGACGTGCTCTTAAAAGATATTTTGGCGCATGCTTCGCGTACTGAACAGTATGGAGCCGAACATACAAAGATTATCGAGGAAAAAGTTGCCATACTTAACAGGCATGCTGAAAAAACTGTAGGGAAACGCTTTTTTTTCCAAATAGATCCAGAAAATCAAAATAAAACTATAACTTCGCGCGGAAAACTATCGGGACACTTGCAAGATTTGTTCTTTATTGATCAGTTTCCTTTCGCTCAAGTTTTGGGCAATGGAGCAATCAACAAATCGGCAAAAAGAGTTGTAGGAAAATTCAAAGAACTTCTTGCCGAAGTGAAGAAAGATAAACCAAGATGCAAGAACACTTTGAAACGTCTTTCCCAAGAATTTATTAGAGAGTTTCGGCAATCAGGCCTTCGAACAACTGTAACTCCTTATGTACACATAGTTGGTAATCATTTATTTCAGTTCGATGAACTAGAAGATCTTCGAGCATTTAACATGCAAGGAGTTGAGAAAGGAAATGATGTTCTATCAAGACTATACTTTTCGTCAACAAATCCCGCTAAAAACCCCTTGCTCACAATGATGCAAAAACTCTTTCGAATGTTAGAAATGAATTTTCAGAACGAAAGTGAGCGAATTGCTATGGCAACATTTGCACAAACTGGAGTGTACGATTTTGATGACATCGATGATGAAAATGCAACCCTACTGCATTCTGAAAGCGAAAGCTCAGGAGTAAGTTCGCGGAGAAAAAGTTTTGACGAAATGGATTCTGAGGAAGAAAGTGAAACAGCATTACAAGAAGATGATGAAGAATTAGGCGGTTTTCTTTCGTCGTTCACACCTACAATTGTACGTTCTGAAAATCGTTTCAAGAGTTTTAAAACGTGTAATAAATAGTCATGTTATGTTTTTGTGTCATCACATCGTTTTTGTCGTTGATATTGAGTGAACCATGCTGATTCATCCGAGTTTATTTCCTTTATTTCTTTTAAACGATCACGTAAAAATGCCGGAATCACTCCGATCGGACCATATCAAATAGGTAAATAAAAATCAATACCATTTGATGCCGTCCTGTCACCGACATTATTACGTTTTAGTTTTTTTCTGAAAGACTCTTTCTCAATTAGCTATTACTGTCACTGACAAATTGATGCACAAAGTTTAGTTTTGATTGACACTGCGAAAGACTGTTATTTAATATTCTTCCCTCTGCTTTCGTGCTACTACTTACTGTACGTATTGTACATATAGCTTGTTGAACTGATTTGTGTTTCTCAGATTTCTTGCCTGCATGCTTATTGTTACTATTCTTGTATATAGTTTACTTTAGTTCTTTTTCTTTTTCTCAAACTTTAGAGCAGACAGACGAATCTTTCAAATTTTAATTCAGCAACAATGTCTTCCATACCCTCAGTGTGTTGTAAAAGTGTTGCGCGACCACTGTCTGCATGCGACCTACTGTGCGGAAATAAAACCCACTTACCACCAAACACACCGATATATGATGGGCATTGCCATTACGATGAAATTTTAAGCAGTCCAGTTTGCGGATTTTCCAATGAGTGGAAAAGCTGTTCTAGAAACATGTTCATTATCAGCAATAAGCATAAACCAGAAAACTGGTATATGAAATCTCAAACTTGGAGTGCTAAGCTGAATGTTTTTGAGACATATGGTATTCATCCGAAATACATTAGGCACGCTCAAAATGAAAGCGATTTGCGCCATTTAGAAGGAATTGCCAAGACCAGGAGTCTTCCAAGCTCGAGCGTTCAGGTAGTAGCTTTGGGCGAATGTGGCTTGGACGAAACTAGTGCTCGCACTTGTATACAACAGCAGATACCCACATTCGAAGCTCAAGTCGTTTTAGCAAATAAATACAAACTTCCTCTGGTGCTTCATTGCAGAGGTCAATCAGCTTTGTATGAAACAATGCTAGGAATTTTGAAAAGCCAGATTCAAGAAATCGACATTCCTATTCATTGGCATTGTGTAAATGCCGAAGCGAACTTAAACGTAATCTCCAGTTTTCTAGATTTCTTCCCAAATAGCTGCATATGATTGAATGGGTCGATAACATTCGATGATAATAAATCTACCCATAAAGAACTGAAACATTGGTTACAAAATAGAAAGGAGACAGACCTTTTAAAGCGCCTCATCTTCGAAACGGATGCTCCGTGGCTAAAACCAAGAAATTTGCAAGGTTTTTATGACCCTTGCCTAGGAATTATGGCAATTGCACAGTATCTTAAAGATATTTTACACGCAAAACACAAAAATGTAACAAGTTTCATCAGATCATCAAACTATAACATTCAACGGATGTATAACCTATAAAGTTTCTGAACTGAATTCCATTGGCTTCTTTCTCTAAAAACTTTTACGAAAACACACTAATAACAACGAAAGTCATATGGTAAACCACAACAACCCGGTTTTTCCGTGTTTTTGTAAGTTAAGTTTTTCCTCTGTTGCTGCTCACGCTTGCTGTTGCTTGAATTTTATTTTTATTTTTGCATTTTATTATTTTGCATGGGATCTTAGTAGAAAAAGATCCGCTCACCTTTTTTTGATATTGACACATCAATTTTATTCATACTGATTTAAATGTATGATTATATTGAGTTGTTAGTATAAATATAAGGTGAGCTGGATAAATCGTCGATCAATCGTCAACGAAACCTATGCAGTTTCGAATCTATTAAAGTTCAGTCATGAAAGAAAAAAGTTCTTTTTGTTTCATCTTTTTCTTGTTATTCTTTTAGATTTCAGCGAAGCAAACAATTCGAAATCCGAAAACCTGTTATATTTATCGATCTCGAATGTCTTTTACCTCTGCACTTGAATGCATGTTTAAGCATTTAGATTGATTTTATGT